CGCGCCGCCCTCCAGGCAGCGACGGCACACCGCCGCGCTGCGGCGCCAGATCCCCACGCCGAGCCGCTGGCGAATCTGTCCAGGAGCCCGCTGTCTGCGAGGCCCCTCCGGCGAGCCGCGCGCCTCGCCGTCTGGGCCGCGAGCGCGTCGGCGCGTCGGCCCCTTCTCCGTGGTGGCGTCCGCAGCCGAAGACCATCGGCTCGTACTCCAAGCCTTGCTGCTGCAGCTCCACTGAAGCGGCCGGCCCGCGTCGGCGTATCCTGGCAGCTCGCATCCCGGCCACGCCGTTGAAGCCAGCGCCAGCCGAGAAGGGCGGCGTGATCCCGACGTCGAGGCGCTCGCATCCGCCGTCCAGGGATGCGGCGGAGGAAAGCAGGTCCGTCCGCAAGGCGAGCGCCAGGACGACAGGTCACGAGCCCGACTGGCTCTACTCTGTTATCCTAACCTACTCATGCTTCTTGTTCGACCCTACTCTGCATTACTCCAACGTGCTTTATTTCGCCCGACCCTACGCTTCCGTCTCTCCGATGGCCTTCGGCCCATCCGGTCACCGTCCCTGGGTTGTGGGTACGAAGCCTATCTGACGTTCGTTGGGATCTCGTGGAAGGCCTCTCGGGGGCCTCTTGAAGGCAGTTTTGAAGTCTCTTGGGGGCCGTTTTGGGGCCTCTTGGAGCCTCTTTCGGGCCTCTTGGGGGCCTTTGGGGGCCTCATAGTGGCCTCTTGGGGGCCTCCTTGGGGCCTCTTGAGCGCCTCTTGTGGCCTCCTGGAGGCCTCGTGGGGCGGAAGACTCGGATTTTCTGTTCCTGTTCCCTCTCTTGGGGCCCTTTTGGGGCCATGTTGGGCGCCTCTTGGGCAGTCTTGGGGCGCTCTTAGGCCGTCTTGGTGCCATCTTGGAGGCCTCTTGGGCCGTCTTGGGGTGATCTTAGGCCGTCGTGGTGCCATCTTGGAGGCCTCTTGGGCCGTCTTGGGGTGATCTTGAAGGCCTCTTGGGCCGACTTGGAACAAACGTAAATGACGAGAACGCCCAAATCCTTCAAACACCCTAGGCACATCACTGGTTTTTGCCTCTCGGGAGGCCTCTTGGATGCCTCTTGAGGGCGTCTTGGAGGCCTCTTGGGCCATCTTCAGGCCATCTTGGGGCGATCTGTCGGCGCCTCGGGCCCTCTTGGACCTCGTGCGGCCTTCTTGGCCCGTCTTGCGGCTCTCTTGGACCCGAAGAAGTCATGCGAGAAGATGCCGGGAAACCCAGGGGTCACGCGAGAAGCCCCTAGAGATTGGGCAATTTGGGTCTGGGCCCTTGAAAACTCTTCGGGATTGAGGATTGAGGCTTAGAAGATGAGGGACAGCACCTGAGAGCACGCCCACTCCGTGCCCAGAGGCACGGTGGCGGACCCTATTCTATCATGATCTTCTCTACCCCACCACTATTCTACTCTACCTTATTATCCTACCCTAGCCTATTCTACTCTACTCTGTTCTACCTTCTTCAGATTTACACAACTCTACATCATTATGCTCTATGCTACTCTATCTAGGCTACTCCACCCTACTCTGCTCTATCTACTCTACTCATCTACTCTTCTTTATTATACTCTAATATACTCCTACTCTACTCTATTCTACCCTACTCTACTCTACGCTGACTCGAACGATTATTGTGCGATTGATGGGACGCCATATGCCATTGGAGTAGCCATGCAGATACGATGGAGCTATGCTGATAGAAGGAAGCCATGCGGATAGGAGGAAACCATGTGGATAGGAGGAAACCATGTTGATAGGAGGAAGCCATGCGGATACGAGAAAGCCACGCGGATAGTAGGAATACATGCGGATGGGAAGAAGCCATGCGGATATGAGGAAGCCGTCTGAGGAAGCCCTGCGGATAGTTTGACGAGGCAATGGCAAATTGGAGGGGGTGGGGGTTAGGACTCCTAGAGGCAAGCGTATTTCACGAGAAAAGGATCTGGGTGACAGTGGGTCCCAGGGAATGGGTTCAGACCTCTGTGGGGCTACGTTGTGGAAACATCGCGACGTGGGAGTGCTGGTTCGTGCGGACTTTCACCTGGCACCTTGATTTGTTTCTTTCCTTTGGTCTGGTGCCAGCGACTTGGTGGGTCAGGAGTGAAGAGGTCCAATCCAGAATCCGAACATATTCCACGATTCTGGATCGCAGGTTTTTGATAATGCCGATCGCCGACCGTTCTCGGCGTGTCGTCGTCGACCCAGCACTGCGGATTTTAGGATCATCGTGGTTATGGTTAATCTGCTTCTTCCGATGAAAACAAACGATGTCCTAATTCCAACTCCGTCACTTCGTTTCCCGTCCTATTTGCCTACCCCCTCCACCTCTTCCCCCTCCCTCCCCGTTGGCGTCCCCCCATCCGTCATCCCTCATATCCATTTTCCCTTCTTCCTTCCCTTCTTCGGTGGCGAGCCTAGGGGGGGAAATGAGGGGGGGCATGCTTTTTCAGAAGGTGGCGGAGCTTCTCAGAAGCCCTCTGGCCTTCTGATGATCCATCTGTGGCTTCGGAGAAGGCTCGCAAGGCTTCTCAGAAGGCGCGAGGGCCTCTGAGAAGCCCCTCCGCCTTCCGAGAAGGCCTGCCTTCTCTCACTTGCTCCCTGGGCCCGTGGCCTACTTCCTCATCTAATTACCCTGTCGCGGTCGATTGCTCTCGGTCGGGTGGGTCCGGTCGGCTGCTCCGTCGTCGTGCGTACCTCTGTCGCTTGCCTGCGGTCTCTGTCGGTTTCGGTCGGTGCCTGTTTCGGTTGATGCCGGTTTCGCCGTCGATTCATGTTCGTTTGTTTGTTATGTTGTCGCCGTGTGCGTCCCAGACTTCACCCCCGCAGCCACCTCTCGCCATCGGCCTCCCCTGACGGCTTCAGGCGAAGATCCTCGCCAAGGAGGAGTTTCTCAGCGCGAAGACCGCGGACCTCAGGGTGATAGATGACGATGCTGATGATGCTGATGCTGCTGCTGCTGATGAGGATGATGCTGATGATGATGATGATGCTGCTGCTGATGATGATGATGGTGATGATGATGATGATGATGATGATCATGATGATGATGATGATGATGATGATGATGATGATGATGATGATGATGATGATGATGATGATGATGATGATGGCGATGATGATAGTGATGATGATGCTGCTGCTGCTGCTGATGATGATGATGATGATGATGATGATGATGATGATGATGATGATGATGATGATGATGATGATCCACGCGTCTGAAGGGGTCAGGAGCTCCCCGCTCGGACTGCCCCTCGGACCGAGGCGTTTCCCTTCGGCCCTGCGGAGGCAACGCTCAGTCTCGTGCCCAAGGCACCCTCGCAGAATCGCTCGAGTGCCCAAAGGCCGCCCCCCGCCCCAGCCGCAGCAAGCGGAAGACACGACACCCGAGCAGTCACGGCGACTCGGCCCGCGACACCCGCGGGCTGGTTCGTAGCTAGCGCTGCCAGAGACATCAAGCGGGCTCAGGGTCGTCTAAGGCCCGAGGGGCCTCGAGTGGGACCCCCAGGAGGATGCTGGCCGCCGCGAGGGCGATCCGGGAGGCGGCCCCAGCCTCCCGGAGCTCGTCCGCAGACAGGAAGCAGAGGCCCTTGTCCTCGCCCAGGCCCAGGTCGCACTCGCGCTTGTATGGGCCCTTCGGGTCCTCCCGCCTGCCCTCGTCCAGGTCCAAGCCGAACATGCGCTCACGCATGCCCTTCAGGTCCTCCAGCCTGTCCTCGGAGAGGCTCTCGTCCTCGTCCAGGTCCAGACCGAACTCGCGCTTGCGCAGGCCCTTTATGTCGTCCAGCCTGTCCTCGCAGAGGCCCTCGTCCTCGTCCAGGTCCCGGCCGAGCTTGCGCTTGAGCTTGCCCTTCAGGTCCTTTAGCCCGTCATCGCAGGTCCAGGCTGAACTTGCGCTTGTGCATGCCCTTCAGGTCCTCAGCCAGCTTGTCCTCGCATGAGGTTCTCGTCCTCGTCCAGGTCCGATGATGATCTTGTGTTGATGATGATGATGATGGTGATGGTGATGGTGAGATGATAATCAGGATGACGATGATGATGATGATGATGATGATGATGATGATGATGATGATGATGAGGGTGGCACTCTCCGTCTCCAGAACGTTGGCCGCCATCGGCCATCACACCACCCTTGCCCGCTCCCTGACCTCCTCTATCGATCGATCGACCAGTCGTTGTCGTCGTCGTCGTCGTTGATGGATCGAGGTTCGAGGTTCGAGGGTCGATGAGGATAGGGCTTTTAGGACGTCTTTGGCTCTTTTTGGGCCTCTGGGGACCTCCGGGGGGCCTCCAAGGGGCCCTGGTGGCTTCCTGGGGCCTCCAGACGCATCCATGGTCCGCCTCATTTTCTCCTCCTCCTCCTCCCTTCTTCTCCTCCTCCTTCTCATCGTCCTCCCTCCCCTCGTGGATTTCGAGGTGACGAATTCACATGGTTTTCTGTGTATGCTGTATGCCTCTCAAGTTGTGGCCTTTGCCTGTGAGCATCATCGGTTACGACAGGAGGCATAGTTGCATGATGTCGGTCGCATCCTCTGACCTAGAAGATCAGTTGCTCAGAAGCGCGACCGTGGTGGCGAGCCAGGCCTGACCTGGAGGCAGTTTCACAGTCTTACAGTATCGTTCTCCCTCCCCGTTTCCTCCTCCTCCGTCCCTCCCTTGCCAACTGGACCACCTGCTCGAGGGTCTCCCTCTTGCAGGTGGCGCAACGGACGCGCCCCCTCCCTCCCTTGCCTTCCTCAAGCCACGGGGGGCCTCAGGCGTCTCGCGTTCTGGAGCGAGGCACCTGGAACACTGCCACCCCGTGTCCCGGCGCTGAATGGCCTCGCGTCGGCCTGCGGCTTGAGGCGCGGAACCAGCAACACCTTTGCCACCAGCAATTCCGCCAATCACCGAAGACAAAAAAACACCATAAGCATAAACTAACGGCGCCCCGCGCGGATTTCTTGGATCCGCGCTGGGGCCCCCTGGCGGCGCCGGGGGGGTCCAGCGCAGATCCAAGAAATCCGCGCGGAGCGCCAAATGTTTCTGTTCATGCCGTTTTCTCTTGTTCTAGTTAGGGCATGTGGAGGTGCCAGCAAAAACCTTCTCGTCGTTCTCCGGACAGCCCAGGGGGGGCCTCCCTCGAGTGCCATTCGTCGTCATCGGGGACGAGATCTTCCAGACGCTGGGCCTACAGTTCGTCAATCGCAACACTCACCAGAGGAAAGTGCAGATGATGTGCGTCACCCTTGCCGCCGTCCAGATGAAGCCCAAGAGCTGCGCGAGTCCCCGGTTCTCTGCCACCTGCGTGGAGACTGATGGCCGCGCGAAGGTTGCGCACTGTGGCGCCACGAGCTTCGATGGGGTCTGCGCCACCATCGACAACGTCAACGACAATATCCAGAATCGCGTGATGCAGTTCGACATTGCCAGCGACTGGGGCGAAGGGGAGTCGAGCTTCGACGAGGCCACCTACTCTTCCGACAAGGTGAAGTTGCCGAACCATAGCTTGGATAGCAACCCCGAACAGATCTCTCAGACCAGCGAGCCCGTGGAGGTCATCGAGTTGTTTCCTCATTTCTTCGAAGGCCAAAACAGCAGGTTTTCAGAGTCTGGCTTGACATCTTCTGGAAATTCTGGTGTGTGCGAAGGAGTCTCATAATACAACCAGACACAGTGTACCTTTGCATTCAAGAGGTACGCGTGGTGTTTTCGCACAGTCGAAAACAGAGGCGTCGTTCGTGACAGCGTCGGCCTGCCCTGTGTGGTTGGTTGTGGCAAGTCCTGAAGAGGATAGCCAACCACACGCCGAAACGGTGGAGACGGACTGGACCAGGGGTGCCCGAAAGAGTGGGCATATTCAGTCTTAGACCAGAAAAGGGAACCAAAGGAAGCTGCGCAGTCAAGTGCTTCTCGGGGACCTTGGCGCGGCACAGCCGTTGCCAGGCGAGCCTGAGGCGGGTGTACAAAAAATACTTTGTATGTTGCATTAATATGGATATGCTTGGCAAGTGACAGGCTATCAGCCGGAAGTCTCTCCAGGAGCTCGTCTTCGGTGGTGCGGCCTTTTTCCCAACATTCAGAGAGGTAGCAGCGGTGGCTTTACCAAAAAGGGGGTTTCGCTGGTGCGCTTGGATTATCCACGACCGCCTAACGCAGGGGTCGGGTGGCTCACACCCCTGGGCCGTGGTTAGTGTCCGCTCAAAGAAAAAGGGGCGATCGCCAGGCTTAGCTGCGGTTGCCGGCGGTGTCACGAAAGATGGGGGAGTTGTTTATTCCCTTCCTTGAAGGCCAAAACAGCAGGTTCTCAGAGCATGGCTTGACATGTTCTGGCAACTTTGGTGTGTACGAAGGAGTCCCATAATACAACCAGACACAGTATACCTTTGCATTCAAGAGGTACGCGTGGTGTTTTCGCACAGTCGAAAACAGAGGTGTCGTTCGTGACAGCGTCGGCCTGCCCTGTGTGGTTGGTTGTGGCAGGTCCTGAAGAGGATGGCCAATCACACGCCGAAGCGCTGGAGACGGACTGGACCAGGGGTGCCCGAAAGAATGGGCATATTCAGTCCTAGACCAGAAAGGAGACGAGAGGAGGTTGTGCAGTCAACTGCTTCTCGGCGACCCTGGCGCGGCATAGCCGTTGCCAGGCGAGCCTGAGGCGGTTGTACGAAGAATGCCTGGTACGTTGCACTCATATGGATATGCTTGGCAAGTGACTCATCGAGAGCGACGGCTTCACCTCCAAGGGCGCCCATACGAACGCAGCGGAGTATGACCGGATGGCCCCTGTCACGGATCATTCCGTCGTCCTCGACGAGCCTGAGAATGATAACAACTCCAAGAAAGATGTTTTTTTGTTCGTGAGTTTCGATGGGGTCAGCGCCACCATCGACAACGTCAGCGGTCATATCCAGAATCGCGTGATGCATTTCGACATCGCCAGCGACTGCGTCGAAGTGGACAAGAGCATTGACTAGTCCAGTGACGGTGTATGATTAGCTGGCCCTTGTCATGGATCAGTTTATCGTTTTCGACTAGCCTGTGGATAGAGACGGCTCCAAGACACGTTCCTTCGTGGGCGTGAGTGTCCGTGAATGTTCTTTGCAGGCTAACGTGCAACAGATGCTGAGCCAGAGGTTGAAGGTGAACGGCATGATGGACACCATCACCGCCGACCAGCAATCCGAATAGAACCCGCTACTACAGATCATAGTAGACGTCGGCTCCAGCTCCTCCTCCTGTTCCTCCTCCTCCTCCTCCTCCTTCTCCTCCTCCTCCTTCCCCTCCCCACCCTCCTCTTCCCCCTCCCTCCTCCCCCCCTCCCCCGCCTCCCCCTCCCCTTTTCCTTCTCCTCCCCCCCCTCCCCCCCGTTCGTTCCAAATTGTGCTCCCGCTGCAGCGCTGGCGTCGTTATTTCCATCGCCATGCCGCGGTATGATTTTCGTTCCTTCCAAAGGTTCCAAATCTACAAAAAATGCCACCCCGAAAAACAATCGGAAGTGATGCCACAGTCGGTGCCGATTCGTTGATTTTTTGGGCCGCGGAAGCCCCCCCATACTCTGGGCCGTCGCCACGCCATGTTATGTCAGGCTGCGCGTTCTCATTTCCGCGGTTCCGCGCTGAGTTGTTTTTCAAAATGTTGCTCTCGCTGATGCGCTGGCCTCATTTTCGCGCTTCCGCTCGTTCCGGATCGTACTCCCGCTGCAGCGTTGGCCTCATTTCCGCGCTTCCGCTCGTTCCGAATCGTGCTCCCGTTGCAGCGCTAGCGTCATCATTTCGAGTGCCATGCCACGGCATGGTTTTCGGTCCTTCCAAAAAGAGTTCCAAAATCTAGAAAATGCCCCCCGAAAAAACCATCGGAAGTGGCTACACATTCGGTGCCGATTCCTTGATTTTTGGGGCCGCAGAAGCCCCCACCTTGGGGCGTCGCCACGCCATGCTATGTCATGCTGCGCGTTGATCTTCGACACCATGCTATGCCATGTGATGCTATGCCATGCTGCGACGTGCGACTTTTCGAATCATGAGGAGATCTATACGCCATGGTAAGGGATGGGAGGGAGGGTCAAGACGTCAGACATGACGCGAGCGCACCTACGGTGGGTCCACGTCGTGTCGACCTGCGGCGACCCCGCCGCCGGCGTTCAAAGTTGAACGCCGCCAGCGACCCAGAATCGGTCGACGTTGAACGATCGGACGTTGCGGGAACGACCGATCGTTCAAGGTTGAACGATCCCTGCGGTGTCAAAAACCAACGCTGGGGTCGGCACGACACGGACCTGCCGTAGCTTGCCCCCCCTCCCTCCCCCGCCCCCCTCCCCTGCCTCCTCTTTTCGTCCTCCTCCTCGGGGGCCGCAGGTGTGGCCCAGGATGGGGGAGCGGGCGGTGCCTCGTGCGGTGTGCTGCAGGGGCAGTTGCCCCCTCTCCTCTCCCTCCTCCCTTTTCCTCCTCCTCCACTTCCTGATCCTCATTCTTCTCCTCCGCTTCTCCTCCCGCTCCTCCCGCCCTCCCGCTTTTCCTCCTCCTCCTCCTCCTTGTCCTCCCCTCCCTCCCTCCCTCCCTCCCTCCCTCCCCCTTCCTCCCTGCCTCCCTCACTCGTCTCCCCCGTCGCCTTCGCCCCTCTCCATGACAAGTAACATCTTCAAGTCGCACCACTGGCCACTGGACGTGTCCACAGGCTGGGCCTGGCGCCTCGCTGCAGATCTCTCTGCCGTTGGCCACCGGGAGGCCCAAAAAATAACAACCCAGCAGTGACGAGGTGGAGGGCCGGAGGCTCTCCCCCAACAAATGCGGTTCTGAGTCCATGCGAAAAGTATCCTTCAGTTGCAAGGGGCGGTGGGTCATTGGTTTTCCAACTGCGTCTTCTGCCCCTTCGCCGTGCACCGGCATCCGACAAAGCGTCGCAGCAGTTGCAGGGTGGGGCTCTCGCGTTGGCATCGTGAAGTTCCCCACAGCTGCAAGGATGGAGGGCCGTTGGAACGTACGGCTTCCACGTCAACGCCGAGCGCATTCGTCGTAAACCTTTCCAATAGTTACGGCGATGGATGCTGGCACGTTTTTAGAAACGTGACGCGAGGTGCGTTGCCTCTTCACATGGCCGCCCCCTGACCTTTCACCCCCCTTTGCTGGCCCGCGTCCCCTCCTCCTTCCCCTCCTCTCCTCTTCCCCCCCCTCCTCCTCAAGCGCCCTTTTGGCTCAGCGCGCCGCTGCGGCCTCCTTTGGCCAGCTCCGAGCCTTCGCGAGGCGGACTTGGGATCCGATGCCTGCGGCCTCCTGGTGGTGGCGGGTGGCTGTGGCTCATTCGGTGCGGGCGTCATGGTACAGAGGGGGCTGCCTGAAGGCGCGGCGGCCGCAGCCGCGCGCGACGGCGGAGCAACCGCTGCGCGCTGGCTGGCGCGGAGGCTGAGGCGCGAAGCGCGCGAAGCGGCTCTCCGCCGCTTGCTGCCGTTTTTTTGTTGCTTCTTTCGTTTGCGAGTGCAGCGACGGGTATTCCCTGCGAGCTGGCGGAGGAGGTACCAAACGTGTACACGGCAAGGCCGATCCGAGGGAGGAGGATTCAAGCTGGGATTCAATCGGGGCAACAGCGTTGCGGGCCACAACGCCCCAGCCCACAGGGAGACAATTGGGGCAGTGGCTTCAAAGGAGGACGGCGCCTTCGGGGATTAGTGGGTTTGACCCGCGGGCGCATCCTGAGGGAGAGTGAGAGCAGGGCCAGGATCGCTAGACGATCCAGCTCCGCTCACACTCGGACGCCCCTGTCGGGCGTCGAACTCATCACGAGCCTGCATCGCCATCTTTACAGCCTTAGCGGGCCCGTCACGACGAGGGTAGAGTCCCTTCCCCAGACGGGCCAAGTTTTCCAAGCCTTTCCGACTCGGGCGGCATTCAGAGATAAGATGACGGGGGTCCACAGTAGCGTAGGCCCCACAGGTGTGACAAAAGGTCAGGAAGAATTGGTCCGCTCGGCCGAGCGAGTGCGACGGATGGACTTCAACTCCCTGCAAATTCAAACCGATACCCTGGGTGATCCTCTGAGCCCTGGGAGGGGGAGGAGCCTCAGGAGGAGGAGGAGGGGGAGGCAAACAGGGGCTCGAGCTCAACTCCAGGAACCTCGACTGGGGCACTGCCTGGAGACACGCCTCGCAAACCCACACAGAGCCCCTCAGGTGGAGGCGGTGGGCGGAGGCAGCGAGAGCTCGAGCAACTCTAGACTTCGGTACCACTTTGATGGGCACCGCTTCTCTCTCTGCCTTCGACGATTTGTCGGCGGCAGCAGCATCCTGGAGCGCGCGACGGGCACGCCTCCTGATCATAGCAGCAGCAGAGTCGACCGCATCGGTCCGAGGAAGGTCCCCCACCAGCCCCCTCTCCCACGCCAACTCCGCCGCCCTCCCCGCCCAGATATCCGCAGCCATGTTACCCATGGCGGTGAGCATCTCTTGCTCACAGTTAAAACTCGCTCTCTCATCCGTGTGGGATGGGGTCCACCGAACCATTAGCTGGCCAGGCCTGGATCTCCAAGACTTCCTAGCACGCTCCCAGAGGTCCTCCTGGAGACGCGAGGCCCTGGGATTCTCAAGGATAAACTCCCAAGACCTGGCTATATTCTTATGGTCGGTGACGAATTCAACATTACCTGGAACATTCTCGAGCATGAGACAAAACGCGAGCAGCTCGGCCCTCGGGACAGACTGTTTCAGCCCGAGGAGAGGGACCGCAATGCCAGCACGCTCCTGAAACTGACCCTGCTCATCGGGCGCCAGGGCCACGATAGCAGCTCCACAGCGGCGACGACGAGGATCGTCTGAGTGCTTCCCACCCGACCCGTCCCCGTACACCACCGTCCACCCCCCATCCTCACATTCATGAAAAGCGCCTGGCAGCCTGAGCTCGAGCTCGGCCAGCAGCGCCTCGTCGAAGCGAGGCGTGGTCATGCAGAGAGTGGGCACACCACGGAGCCAGAAAGTGGGCTGGCTCTCATATTGCGCTGTCGCCGCAGGCAGCAGCGAGGCAGTCTTGTCGTAGTCGTCGTGGTTGCCGTTGCACTCGCAGGACCAAATCCTGCGGAACAGCGTCTCTGGATGCTTCTCGCACCGTGGGCATGTGGTCGACTCCAGCTTGTACCCGCAGAGATGCCTCTGAGTGCGGGTCCACTGCCCTCCAGCCACGACCGTCAAATTCAATCCATGTCCATCATGCTGGCCACGGGCCTGGTGACGCTTGAGCTCCCTCATGATATGGTAGAAGTCACCGCCACCCGCCAGGCCCTCGCCATTGTCATGCTTACTTGCCTCTAACCACAGCGCCGAGCGGATGTCACCGATGAGGTCGTCGATCAGCTCCGTCGTAGAGCCGAAGTTCTCGAACGCCTCGTCGCCGCTCGACGGGATGTGCCACTCATCAACTCCAGCACTAGTCGGGCGGGTCCAGACCGTCGCAGTCTTAGGATCCCACCCCACATCCAGCAATGTAGCAATAACTGCTGAAATCGGGCCTCTGGCAATGCTCCAGCGCCGCCTCTCCGCCTTCGCAAGGCGGCCCCGAATCGACGGCCACACAAGCCTGAGTCGCCGATGTAGCTGAGGCTGAGCCTGCCAGAAGCTGAGCCATTCCAGAACCAACTGCCGTCGCATCTCCACCGTAGGGTCCTTCAAACCGAAAGAAGCCGCCAGTGTGCTGGTCAAGCAGCGCCCACCTTGGCCACCAGTGACGGCAGCAGCAGCCTGGCGCCGCAGTGCCAGCAAGGCCGACGGGGAGGTGCCATGAACTTGGTGCCCGTAGGTAGACTGCGGGCACGCACCAGTCGCCCACAAGCAGCGGGCCTCTCGGCCAAGTGCAGCCATACGTCTGAGCCTCTTGATGCGCCCAGCTCGTCGCTGCGCCTTGACTCGCCTCGAGATGGCCTCGGCACAAACTCTGCGCCTGGCGGCCGCAACGTCGACGCCGAGGTCGACGCCCTGCAATACTGGCCCCACTGGAACTCCTCTCGCACGCAACCTCTGTGCCGACTTCTTGGCCAGGGAGGCCGACGAGCCAAGAATCGCAGACTTGGAGGAGACAACCAAACGATGCTGCTTCAACCCTCGAGCCAAGGACGTGCCCACCACATCCATAGCAGGTAATACAGCTTCCGCAGAGCCTTCGCACCGTCCCACCGTATCGTCAATGAACGTCCACAGTGACGCCGACGGGGCCTCCTGATGCACCCTCTCCAGAATGGGGTAGAGAGCCAGCTTGGAGAAGGGGACTCCATGGGACGATCCAGCCTGCGGGTAGGGAAGATCGCCTCGCTGAGCCAGCCGCGCTCGCGCAGGTAGCGCGGGTGGAGGTAGACCTGCACCTCGAGGCCCATGACCGTCGGACTGAAGCCGGAGTCCAGGCCGATCTGGAGGAGGCCCACCAGCGAGACGCTGTCGTAGAACTTCTCGATGTCCAGGAGGAGGACCAGGAAGCTGACCTGCTGCTCCTGGGCCGCCTCGTCGAGCGTCGCCCTCAAGAGGGCAGCGCGCAAGGCTGAAGAGCCACGCACTGCTGTGTCCCAGAACGCAGCACGCGCAGGGCACCATTGCGATGTGAAGGTCTGGCGAGCACGCGACCACAGCTTGACAGGCAACGGCACCATGCCCAACACACGGTCTCCCTCTCCCGACGGCTTCGGGGCAAGGGCAGAAAGAGTGGCCGCCAACTGCAACGGCCATGCCCGGGCTGCCTCACATCGCTGGAAAAGGTCCCTGAGCTCCTCAAGGGCCTGGGTCGGCAGGCGGCACAGGCCGCCAGCACCAAGCACATCAACTCCACGAGCCTTCTTGTTGCCCGTGACTCGGATAGCAGCCTGGAGCTGCTCGCAGTGCAGCGGAGGGATGTCCTCCTCAGCTGCTTTGTGTCGTATTGCGCTCAGCGCCTGAATGATACTAGCTGGGGTATCCACTGCATCGCTCCAAATCTTGCCCCACTTCGTCGACTTGTTGGCCATGATCGTGATGGGGTCGGCCACCGCATTGGCGGCAAAGGAACTGGGAGTGGTCACCACCGTGGCATCCTCAGGCCGAGGGGCGACGGGGTCACGAACGTGTCGGTGCAGGGCGCCAGGGGAAGTGCGCCACATGCGACGGACCCAGTCGGCGTAGGCCTTGCGAGCCTTGCCGATGCCCCTCGCCACCTCACAAGCTGCAACCGCCTCGACTGCCACCACGACCTGACACAATCCCTCAACCATCTGGTCGCTGGTAAGACTGTGGACCCCTTCATGTAGGGAGACAATATGATCAAGAGCCGTCTTGGCTCTGTCTTGTAAGTCAGGTCGCTGATCCAAATGGTACTGTCGCAGATGCTGAACTCGACCAGCAGCACTTGCCAACGCGCTACACATCTGCTCCTCATCCTTGTCATGGAGGAATATGGCCAAGGTCCTCCTGCAGAGTGTATCCATAACCGACCAATGTTCAGCACCGTCATATTTCCAATGGCCTCGACCAGGCGACGAGACCGACTTCTTCCAAGTGACTGCAAACCCTCGGGCTCTGCCAATGAAAGGCGCACGCTCCTGGGCCGTGAGGTTCGGGTCCAGGAGGGACTGCTCAACCTGGTGGACCCACTTGCCATAGTCTTGGGATAGCTGGTCGTTCCCCTCGAGGGCCCACGAGACGATAGGAGACTCGCTAATCATGCGCATCTCCGCCGTGAAGGTGTACTTCGGACAACCGTCTCCATCCGCTCCAGAGGGCGAGTTAGAGTTCCATCGATCCAGGCTGACTTCAAAGACATCGCCAGTCAAACCTTGAGGGTCAGGGGGCTGATGGAGCTCGTGAAACGCACCTTGATGATCTGGGGGCAAGGCCTCCTTGCGCCTCTGAAGGGCTGCTTGCTTGCGCTGGTAGGTCTTGCTCTGCGGGTCAGGGGCCGTCGGTGGCCGATCCACAGCAGGGAGCGGCCGCGGCAAGACCAAAGCGCGGTGCCACCATGCCGTCGACGTGCCCTGTATCTCAACATGGAGGCCACAGTGGACCTTCCAAGGAACGGTGAGGACGCCCTTGACCGAGACTAAGTCTGCCACCGACACCGACGCCACCGCATAGTCAATGAGCGGCCCCGTACCCTTGTCACAGGTGACACGGACATCTGGGAGAACGATTGTGCCTCCCACATCCTTGAGGAACGAGTTGCCCTCCAGGGCCGTCGGGGTCAGGTTCCAATCTGCAACAATGATCCACGGGTCAGATACTGATGCCAAAAAGGCTCGCAGAGAAGCCCACCTATCAAGGTTGAGGCCTCCGAAACCGTGCTTGGGCAAGAAGTAGGCAGCAATCACAATGAGGTTGCCTGCACGCAGATGCCAGACAGTTGGCACCCAGCCTCGGCAGGGATCCTTCAGGCGCTCCTTGGTCATCAGGGCCCTCTGCCGATCGAAGGACGTGGTAGCAAGATGGGACCGCGCCAGAACCCACTCACCTCCACTCGTGCCCTCCGCAGACCGACCCGTGCCCACCGCAGCACAAGCCGATAACTTCCAACCATCAACGTCCAGACTGGCACGATACTGAATGAGCTTCGCCTCGGTGACGTGAGTCTCCACAAACGCCATCATGCCATACTTACTCTTATGCTCCACCACAAACTTGTGGATACGGGGCCCCCATCCCGTGACATTCGCAAAGAAGAGAGACGCACCAGCACGGTGAGGTGCCTTCGTCTGGGCCGAAGACAGCACGGGCTGGCGGGGGGGGCTCCGTACCTCACGAGCCGACCGTGTAACTGCTGACGCCACGCAGCTCGCTCGTGTCTCCATCCCCGAAGAGCGGGCCAGATGGAGGCTGCCACCCCCCGTAGTAGGCTGGGACGCCACCATCGGAGCTGACGATGCCACGCAGCTCGCTCGTGTCCCCATCCCCGTAGAGCGGGCCAGATGGGGGTTGCAAGACACCGAAGTAGACGACGCCAGCTCCAATGTCTCCCGCGCCTCCATCCCCGAGGAGCTGGCCAGATGGAGGGTGCCTGTAATCGGAGCCGACGGAGCCAACTCCACTGGAGCTGAAGATGCCACGCAGCTCGCACGTGCCTCCATCCCCGAAGAGCGGGCCAGATGGAGGATGCCTGGTCTCGAGGTCGAAGGGGCCAACCTCGACGGAGCTGACGATGCCTCGCACCTCGCTCGTGTCCCCACCCCCGTAGAGCGGGCCAGATGGGGGCTGCCTGACAACGGAGACGAAGACGACGACTCAGCTGTCGCTGAAGATGCCACGCAGCTCGCGCGTGCCTCCACCCCCGAAGAGCGGGCCAGATGGAGGATGCCTGGACTCGAGGTCGACGGAATCGGCCTCCACGGAGCTGACGATGCCTCGTACCTCGCTCGTGCCCCCATCCCCGAAGAGCGGGCCAGCTGGGGGCTGCCTGAGACCGAGGTCGAAGGTGCCAACTCCGATATCACTGGTGCCACGCAGCTCACTCCTGTCGTCGAAGGGCGGGCCAGGTGACTGCCTGCATGCGCGCCTTGCATAGAGCTGGGCGCCGAAGAATGAAGTTGCTCCAGATCCTCTCCAAAGCACTCATCGTCGCTGAACTGCATGTCCTGAAGGGGGTCGATATCCACATCATCCAGTGTGGTGCTACCCCCTCTTCGGAGGAGGGGCCTTGGCGCGAGGTGGAGGCCGACCATCACCGCCGCCGCCAGGGCCAGGAGGAGCAGCTGCCACGCCGACATCCACAGGGGACCTCGCGACTGGGCTCGCCTTCGCAGCAGACTGCTCAAGTCGTTCACGTGCTGCCTTGACCTTGGAGGCACGGGCCTTGGCCTCAGCGTCAGACGGGGCTGCTGGGGCTGCGGCCGCGGCCGCCGCCTTGGCTCCCTCGGCGCCAGTTGCGGTGCCCACCTCGGCGCCGCCTTCAGCCTTCGTGGCTGAGCCCAGAGAACCCTCCGCGCCGACTGCCGACGCCGTCGCCTCTGGGCCAGACGCCACCTCCACCGCGCGCCGCCGCTTGAGGGGCGCCTGCGCTGCAGCCAGCTTGACCCCCTCGAGGGCCGTCTGAACGGCGTGGATGACCGCCGCGGCCTGGTCCTTGGCCTCATCCATGGCCGTGAGGGCCGTCTGCAGCTTGTCCTTGGCCTCTCCATCCTCGTACTCTTCAATCGCAATACTCTTGAGCTTATCTTCATACGCTGCCAAGAAATCGGGCACAGACTCGGGCTTGACCTCAGAAGCCGTCTGAGCACGAACATTGTAACATTGTTGTAGGCCAGGACCGCGGCCTCGTGGGCCTCCTCAGCATCCACGAGCTCCTCCATGGCCTGATCGTAGTCCTGGCGCGCCTGCTTCAGGCGCGTCTCCAAGTTGGAAATCTCCGAGAGGAAGTTGTGGGCGTTGGTGGCCGCCTGCTTCGCCTGGGCCTCCGTCGACTGGAGCTGCTCCAAGGGTGTGCGCGGCCTCGGCAACGCTGGCGTCTCGACTGCCTGCTTGATGGCGAGAACTGAAGCCGTAACCGATGCATCTTGCTGTACAAGGGCCTCAAGCTGGTTGATGAGCTTCGCCTTACCCCAGGGGCTGAAGATCGCAGGTGATGAAGCGGCAGGCACGGCTGGCCCAGGCCCCTTCGGCGATCCTCCCTTGGGCTTGTCCTTCTTCTTCTTCGGAGAATAGAGCTGCTGCGCCTGTCCACACACCGAGCACGCTCCGCCATTCTTGATGATACGCCAATTCCAATCCCACTGCTTGCCAGCGCGGCAGGACGGGGTCGGGCACATGGTGTAGTTCGTGCGAGGCTGCTGCGGCGGCGCCATGGCAGACTCTGGGCAGTTGTCGGGCTGAACAACCCTGGCACTGGCCGCGGACTAGCGGTATCCACGTGTTCCCCTGCGGAACAAGGCATCTTGAGCCAAAGTGGCTACGGATCCGAGGGAGGAGGAGGAGGAGGAGGAGGAGGAGGAGGAGGAGGAGGAGGAGGAGGAGGAGGAGGAGGAGGAGGAGGAGGCTGGAGGAGGCTGGAGGAGGCTGGAGGAGGTTGGAGGAGGCTGGAGGAGGCTGGAGGAGGAGGAGGAGGAGGAGGAGGCCGATTCCCTCCTCTCCCGTCCATGTCTGACCCCCACCGTTCCCTCACATGTTCGTCCTCTGCGGTCCCTCGTTCTTTATCAGCCCGCGCGGACTCCTTACGGGGCACGCCGTATGGTGTATACTGCACTCATCATGCTTAATTCCTGTGTCATCCCTCCGCCGCGATTCTCTTGGCCTTGCGGCCCCGAGGACCTGGATGGCGAGACCAAGCTGGCGGCCTCGATCTACGAGTGCCCGTTTTGTTTTTTTTGCTGTGCTTCCGGAAGCAGACCAGTGCGGTGCGCTGGGCGGGTGTTAGGTTGGGTCGAAGGCGAGTGTGTGTGTGTGTCTTCCCGGCCACTGCGCGCTCGGCCGCTTGCCGCGCGCCCAGCGGTGTGGCGAGCGCCCAAGAGTGTGTGTGTGTGTGTGTGTGTGTGTGTGTGTGTGTGTGTGTGTGTGCGTGTGCGTGTGCGTGTGTGTGTGTGAGTGTGAGTGTGAGTATGTGAGTATGTGAGTATGTGAGTGTGTGTGTGTGGCCTCTGCCCGCGCCAGGGTGTGCGCACGGCACGGTCAATCCTGACGGATCCCTGCCCCATCTGCCCCGTTCCTGCATCGGATCGTTTGCCTTTGTCCGCCTCGATGCTGGGCGCGAGGTCACGATCGTCAAAAAGTGTGGGTGTGCGTGTGCGTATGCGCGTGCGTGTGTGTGTGTGTGTTTGTGTTTTTGTGTGTGTGTGTGTGGTGGGGATTGTCTACCTCCCCCGCGCCCCTCTCGCTCGTCCGTCGTCCGTCGTTCTCGTCGTCGTGCCGTGCCGTGTCTCTGCGCCCTGCCACAGGGCTTCTTCTCGTTGGTAAATCACCGAGCGCAACCAACTACTCGCCAAGTGCCCACTCGCAAACTTTCGAACAAACAAACACATTCTCGCCTCGACATCATGGCTCGTGAATCCATCGCGGCGGATCTGGGCCCTTTGCGAGCAGCTACTTCTTGTGCGAGCAGTGGAGTGGGGCGCGCTTGTCTGCGAAAGAAGGACAGGCCTCCCCCTTGTTCCTGCTGCTGCTGCCTGCCTGCCGCTGGCCCTCCTCCTCTTCCTCTCGGCGGCGGGCGAGGGGGGGAAATGAGGAGGAGAAGGCCTTCTCAGAAGGCGGCGGGACTTCTCAGCAGCCCTCGCGCCTTCTGAGGAGTTTTCTGCGCCTCCGGGGAAGGCACAGAAAGCTTATTAAAAGGCGGGGGGACTTCCGAGCCTTCTGAGAAGGCCCGCCCCTCCTCACTTCCCCCCCGCGCTCGCTGCCCCTCCCCCTCCTCCTCCCCCTCCCCCTCCTCCCCTCCTCCTCCTCCTCCTCCTCCTCCTCCCCCTCGCTCCTCCTCGCTCCTCCTCCTCCCCTCCTCCTCTCCTCCTCCTCCTCCTCCTCCTCCATCTCTCGCCACTGCCGCCCATCCCGTCACCGACCTCGGCGCGCCCTCTTATCTGGGTCGATCCGCCTCCCCCTCCTCCCCTCGCTCCTCCTCGCTCCTCCTCGCTCCTCCTCCTCCTCCTCCTCCTCCTCCTCCTCCTCCTCGCTCTTCCTCCTCCTCGTTCCTCCTCCTCCTCCTCCTCCTTCTCGTCCTCCTCCTCCTCCTCCTCCTCGCTCCTCCTCGCTCCTCATCCTCCTCCTCCTCCTCCTCCTTCTCCTCCTCCTCCTCGCAGGGATTGAGTATTAAAACCAACGATGAATTCATGCATCAAATTACTCATAAATTGATCATGCATCAAAAATCCTATATTCTTAAAAATCCTATGTATTAAAAACTGCCCTATATTCCGAGACCCCCTCGGGTCACGACAAGAATCACGACGTTTTTGCCAAGTTGCGGCCTCGGGGGCCCTTACCGGGCCTCGGGACCGTCAAAAGACGGTTCAGGATGAAAAGCCGATCCTGGGGAATGGGTCGAGACTTCTGGGGGTCGTCGGCATGGAAAAATCATGACGTCGGGGGTCTCGGTTTTTGGATTCCCAGATTCCAGTCCACTTTGGGGGCCTTCCTGTTCAAGAGTCGAGTTGTATTCCCTCTTCCCTCCTCTTCAGGTGGCGGGCGGAGGCCCACTCTACTCCAACGCCTTCCTACTCCACGTTTCTACCCACTTCTTCCGACCGACTGGTACAGCTGTGGTGGCAGGATTGATTCGGAGAAGCGCAAGACTCGAGTACGCCGGAGCTCGGATCTGCCGGCGTTTTTTGACGAGCGCTTCCTGGGTTATGAGGCGGTCCAGTTTTCGTGGGAGCCTGCGGCGGGAGCTCGCGTGAGATCTCCGACCGGGTCATCGTCATTTTCATGATGGCCCTGTCAGGCCAACCCGAGTGTCCTGAGCCTGGGTTTTTTATAGGGGCGGCCTAACCGACCCCCAGCAACCATCCCCTTCTGAGACGTCACCCTCGCCTCGCCCCAAGACGTATGTATGCGGCCGGAGGGGAGCTCGCTCGAAGGCGAGGATGACGTCACGAAAGGGGATGGTTTGTTAGGGGTCGGTTAGGCCTCGTCCGACTTACGTCTCCCCGACTGTTAAGTGGGGTGGGCTGTGCGAGCGCAAGGAGCTTCCAGGAGCGGGTCCTACAGCGTGGAAGCTTTTCCCACAAAGCGATCATCCCCAGCAGAAGGGGAGGGAGGGAGAGCAGCGCCCTGCGTCCGGTGCCTGGCGGCCCGTGCCTCCTGCCTTCCCGTCCTCTTCGCGAGCCCTCTCCGATCGAGCTCGACTGTCAGTTCTCGCCCTCCCCCAGGAGCGAAAAAAGGACGTACATGTACATGAATCCATGCTGGTTTCGAGAGTACGCACTGCGCAAATGTTCGTATATAACGCGGCCCGTCTCGCGGATCGAGGGGCCTTGTTCATGTACATAGCCGGGCGCGTACGTCCTTTGTGGGCTCCCGACTCCCCTGTGGAAAAAACACACACAAAAACACACACACACAAAACACACAGCCTGTGGAAAAAACACACCCTGTGGAAAACAAACACTGTGTGCTCTTTTCCACTGTGTGTGTGTGTGTTTTTTCCACAGGCTGTGTTTTTTTCCACAGACCCGTGCCCCGGCAGCGCCGCGCTTCACAGCGCCTGCCGCTGCGCTCGCGGCCCGCGCTCTCGCCCTCTCGGGCCCGCCCCGCGGCCGGCGCGGCGCGGAGCCCCGCGCTCGCCGAGGATAGCCGTGGGTGATAGGGGCGCGCTGTGGCCGGGGCTCCTCCCCCTCCTTCTCCTCCTTCTCCTCCTTCTCCTCCTTCTCCCCCTCCTCCTCTTCCTCCTCCTCCTCCTCCCCCTCCTCCTCCTGGCGGGCCGTGGCGAGGAGGAGGAGCCAGCGCCGAGGAAGCCGTGGGTGAGGGGGCGCGCTGTGGCCGGGGCTCCCGCCTCCCACGGGATGCGGGCCGTGGCGAGGAGGAGGAGCCAGCGCCCCTCGCGTTGTGACGAATCACGACGGGAGGTTTTTCCCTATTTTCGGCTACAAGGGGCCCTCGCCGGGCCTCGGGACCGTCAAGAAACGATTCAGGATGAAGAACCGGTCCCGGGGAAGGGGTCGAGACCTCTGGGGGTCGACGTCATGAAAAAATCATGACGTCGGGGGTCTGGGGAGCCAGCGCCCCAGAGCAACGGCTACGCCTGCTCCGCGGGCGCAGAGTCGGCAGGAGCACAGGAACACACCGCCCCAGAGCACCCCAGAGAGAGCCCTGGAGCCTCGAGCCTCGAGCCCGAAGGCCTCAAAGCGAGAAGGTCCGTTCGCCGAGGACGGCGGCGGCGGCGGCGGCGACCGCGACGGCGACGGCGACGACGATCCTGGACGGGTGCGCAAAGCGGCGGCGCCCAGCGACTGCTCGTGGGTGTCGGGCGGGGCGCGCGGCGCTGGCCCCTCCTTCGACACCCGGGCCCAGAAGCGGAAGACCGAGATGGACGGCCTGGTCGCGGCCAAGGCAGGGCCCAATCCGAGGAGGAGCAGGAGGAGGAGGAAAGGGAGGAGGAGGAGGTGGACCAGTGTAAGCCCAAGAATCATCAACGATGTTTGAATGAACCCTCCCTCCAAGCTCCCTGGTTATAGGCCCCATGTAAGGGTTCATTTTCACTGAGGGAACTGCCTCGTTGTAAGGCAACCGTTTGAAGACCCTGATGCATGCCAAACCATCGTTCTCGGGATTCCAACGCCACGAATCAACCTGATTGTTGCGTATTGACGTTCCTGAATCGTACCAAAACGCCATTCCTGGGACTTCAACACCGCGAATCAGCGTAACTGCTGCACCCTCACAAGCCTGAGTCTTTCCAAAACACCATTTCGTGTACGCTGATCATGGGGATCCGTGAAGCTCTTGCAAATGTTTGATGCGAATGTGCGCGGCGCTACGGCGCGAGCCACGTTTTGAAAAGGAGCCGCCTTCAATCAGTGAAGCTCTTGCAATGTTTTAGAAGACATGCGCGCGGCGCTGAAGCGAGAGCCACATGTTGAAAACGACCCGCCTGCTATCCGTGAAAGTATAGCAAATTCGATGAAACAGCGAATGTGCGCGGCGCAAAGGCAGGAACCACATTTTGAAAACGACCCGCCATCCATCTGCGAGAGGTTGTAAGTTTCTAAGCTCCAGGGTGGTAGATAGTGAGGACGCCTCAGACGAAACGCCCGGACCGCCCTAAAAACTGGCCCGTGGGTGCGACAGGGAGAATTTGTAAGGAAAAGGAATGGAGGAGGAAGAGGAGCAGAAGGGGGAGGAGGCGGAGGACGAGCAGGAGGAGGAGGAGGAGGCGGAGGAGCAGGAGTAGGAGGAGGTGGAGAAGGAGGAGGAGGACGACGACGAAGAGGAGGAGGGGGAGGAGGAGGAGGAGGAGGAGGAGGAGGACCAGTGGAACCCCAAGAGTCATCAACGATGTTGGAATTAACCCTCCGTCCAAGAGCCCTCTTCATAGGCCCCTACACCGGTTAATTTCCATTGAGGGAACTGCCTCGTTGGAAGACAACCGTTTGAAGATCCTGATGCATCCCAAACCATCGTTCTCGGGATTCCAACGCCACGGATCAACATGACTGTTGCGTATTGACGATCCTGAAACGTACCAAACGCCGTTTCGAGCCTCTTGGGAAGCCCTCGTCGCCACGACTGGATTCGTGTCGAAATTCTTGCCAGAACGCACCCCTGGAGGGGTTTGGGGAGTTGCGGTATTGTTTTTTTTTGCTTGCCACCGCCTCTCGTGGCGAAAAATCACGACGAAAGGTGTGGGCAGTTTTCGGCTTTTGGGAGCCTTCACCGTGCCCGTGGACAGTCAGAAAACGACTCGGGATGGAAATCCGTTGCATGGGAGTGGGTCCAGACCTCCGGGGTCCACGTTGTTAGACAGTCACGACGTCGGAATTCTTGGGGGGCCCAGAAGCGGAAGACCGAGGTGGTGGACGGCCTGGTCGTAGTCGCGGCCAAGGCAGTTCCAGTTCGATGCGATCGTCAGAAGAGGCAAGGGTACCAATGTCGCTGCCCTTGGCTCGTTTTCGCCTTTTTGGGCCTCTTGGGAGGCCCTCGTTGCCACTGCTAGATTTGCTTCGAAATTCTGATCTGATCATAATGCACGCCCACACTGGTCTGGGGAGTAGCGCCATCGGTATTGTTTAGGTTTCCACCTTCTCTTTTCGTGCAGAAAGTCAAGACGGACGGTTTGGGGCAGTTTTCGGCCTCCAGGGGCCGCCCACTCGGTCTGGTGCGATTTGGTTTGTGCAGCCGACGTTGATACGATGTATGACTTGTTTTAGTGTGATTTGTTTCTCCAAGGACGGAATTCCAATATCCTAGTCACATTTTCCTCCCAATTTCGCAGTCACATTTTCCCAGGCATTATTGCGCTTCCTTGCGCCTCCTCATCTCCCTTCTCTTGGGTCTGCCGTTGCATCTGTGGAACTCCCTCGGTTGGGAAGGTGGCGCTTCCTGGCCACTCTGCGTTGGCGTGACAAATTCAGCACAGAAAGGAGTTTTGGAGATCGAGACGTGCTACCGTAGACGCGTACGATAAGGCATCTTGCAATACGAAGTTTTGGGACACACTCTTCGCCGATCTTCGGGGAGGAGGAGGAGGAAGTGGAGGAGGAGGAAGAGGAGAAGGAGGAGGAGGAGGGGGGGGGAGGGGGAGGGCGAGGAAGAGGAGGAGCAGGAGGAAGAGGAGGCAACGCAGAGGTTCCGTGAGTCGTCGTCGCTCGTCGTCGTCATCGTCGTCGTCGCTCGTCGTCGTCGTCGTCGTCGCTCGTGGTCGCTCGTCGTCGCTCGTCGCTCGTCGTCGTCGCTCGTCGTCGTCGTCGTCGTCGTGGTCGTCGTCGTCGTCGTTCGTCGCCGTCGTCGTCGCTCGTCGCTCGTCTCTCGTCGTCGCTCGTCGTTTGCGTCGTCGTCGGCGTCGTCGCTCGTCGTCGTCGCCGTTGGCGTCGTCGTCGGCGTCGTCGCTCGTCGTCGTTGTCGTCGTCGTCGTCGTCGCTGGTCGCCGCCGTCGTCGTTGTCGTCGTTGTCGTCGGCGTCATCGTCGTCGTCGGCGTCGTCGTCGTCGGTCCCTCGTCGCCGCTCGTCGTCGTCGTCGTCGTGGTCGCTCGTCATTCTCGTCTTCGTCGTCGTCGCTCGTCGTTTCTTCTCGTCGTCGTTGTCGTCGTCGTTGTCGTCGTAGTCGTCGCTCGTCGTCGTTGTCGTCGTCGCTCGTCGTCGCCGTCGTCGCCCGTCGTCGTCGCTCGTCGCTCGTTGCTCGTCGTCGCTCGTCGTTGGCGTCGTCGCTCGTCGTCGGCGTCGTCGCCATCGTCGTCGCTTGTTGTCGTCGCTCGTCGTCGTCGTCGTCGTCGCTAGTCGTCGTCCTCGTCGTCGTCGTCGCCGCCGTCGACGTCGTTGTCGTCGTCGTCATCGTCGTTGTCGTCGCTCGTCGTCGTCTCTCGTCGTCGTCGTCGTGGTCGTCGTCGTTCGTCGCTCGTCGTCGTCGGCGTCGGCGTCGGCGTCGGCGTCGTCCTTGACGTCGTCGGCGTCGTCGCTGGTCGTTGTCGTCGTTCGTCGTCGTCGTCGTCGTCGCTCGACGTCGTTGTCGTCGTCGTTGTCGTCCCGTCGGCGTCGTCGTCGTCGTCGTCGTCGCTCGTCGTCGTTCTTCGTCGTCGCTTGTCATCGTCGTCGTCGTTGCTCGTCGCCGTCGTCGGCGTCGTCGTCGCCGTGGTCGTCGTCGTCGCCGTCGTCGTCGTCGTCGTCGCTAGTTGTCGTCGTCGTCGTCGCTCGTCGCTCGTCCTCGTCGTCGCTCGTCGTCGTCGTTCGTCGTCGTCGGCGTCGGCGTCGGTGTCGGCCTCTGCGTCGTCGTCTCTCGTCGTCGCTCGTCGTCGTCGTCGTCGTCGCTCGTCGCCGTCGTCGTCGTCGTCGTCGTCGTCGTCGTCGCTCGTCACCGCCGTCGCTCGTCGTCGTCGTCGTCGCTCGTCGCTCGTCGTCATCGCTGGTCGTTGTCGTCGTCGTTGTGTCGGCATCGGCGACGTCGTCGTCGTCTGCGTCGGCGTCGTCGCTCGTCGTCGCTCGTCGTCGTCGTCGCTCGTCGTCGTCGTCGCCGTTGGCGTCGTCGTTGTCGTCGTCCCTCGTCGTGTCTCGTTGTCGTCGCTCGTCGTCGTCGTCGTTTTCCCTCGTCGTCGTCGTCGCCGTCATGGTCGTCGTCGGTGTCGGCGTCGACGTCGTTGTCGGCGGCGTCGTCGTCGTCGCTCGTCGTCGCTCGACGTCGTCGTTTCTCGTCGTCGTTTCTCGTTGTCGTCGTCGTCGCCATCGTCGCCATCGCCGCCGTCGCCGTCGTCGTCGTCGTCGTCGTCGTCGTCGCTCGTCGCTCGTCTCTCGTCGCCGTCGTCGTTGCTTGTCTCTCGTCTCTCGTCGTCGCTCGTCGTCGTCATCGTCGCTCGTCGTCGTCGTCGTCGTGGTCGTCGTCGTTGTCGTCGTGGTCGTCGTGGTCATCGTCGCTGGGGGGTGCCGCGAGGCCGGGGGGGCGGGAGCCGTGAGACAGATGCCTGCGCCGACCTCTGCGTCGTGCGCCGTCCGCGCCAGCGTCGGGGGGTCGCCTCGAGGCCGGGACGCGTGAGGCGCCTCTGCGCGGTCGGCGGATGGGGGCGGAGTCGTCCTCCGGCTGCGCGATTTTGAGAGGATGGGAAGGGAGGGCGGGACGTCAGACCTAAAACGACGCGAAGATCGGGACAAAATCGGATCGGGATAACTCGAAATCTCTGAGAATCGGCGGGTTTGGAGGATGTATTGGGCGCCGCGGCCGCTCCAGAGCGTTCCGGAACGCTCTGAGAGCGCTCCGGAACGCTCTGGAGCGATTTATCCCGATCCTAGCCTTGTTTTAAGATCTGGCGCGAGCGCGCCCATGCGGCTCGGCTGAGTGGCAGAGGTCTCGTCCGACTGCGGGGTGGGAGAGTCGGGGGAGGAAAGGGTGCCCATAACGCTGCCCTTCCCTCGTGTTCGTCGCCGCGGCTGGATTCGTGTCGAAAGGGCGGCCATAGCACACCCTCGGAGAGGTCAGGGGAGTAGCGGCACTGGTCCTGTTTCGTTTCCCCCGAGAGGGGCTCGGATATGGGCGAGGGACGGGAGGGGGTGGTAGGACGTCAGACATGGCGCGCGCGCGCGCCCAGCTTGCCCTTTGCCCCTCTCCCATCAACAACCCACCCCCCTCCTTCTTCCTCCTCCTCCTCCTCATGATCCTCCTTCTTCCTTTCGCCCCCACTCAATTATCTCACTCCTCCACCTCCTCCTCCTCCTCCTCCTCCTCCTCCTCCTCCTCTTCGTCCTCATTGTCATCACCATCACCATCGCCATCATCATCGTCCACCATCATCATCATCATCATCATCATCATCATCATCATCATCATCATCATCATCATCATCATCATCATCATCATCATCATCATCATCATCATCATCATCGGCATCAGCATCAGCATCAGCATCATCACCATCATCATCATCATCATCATCATCATCAGCATCAGCATCAGCATCAGCATCAGCATCAGCATCATCATCATCATCGTCACCATCATCATCCTCATCATCGTCGTCATCCTCATCATTTTCGTTTCGCCCCCTTTACTCGTTCGGTTTCAGTGCTCCCCCTTCCCCCACCGCCAGAACTACCTCGCCGGCGTCGAGGACGGCACGGCGCTCGACGCTGGCGCCAGCTCCTGAAGACGTCGCGCGCGGCCGCGCCGGGCGCTGGCGCGCCAAAATCGGCGGCGCGCGCGGTCGTCAGGGCAACGTCAGGGGGGGCGGAGACCGCCCTTGGGCGTGCCAGAGAGCACGGCTGATTTGGGCCTCGTACACCACCTCCTCTTCCTCCACCTCCTCCTCCTCCTCCTCCTCCTCCTCCTCCTCCTCTTCTGCCTCCTTCTCATCATCCTTCTCCCTCTCTTCCTCCTCCTCCTCCTATTTCTCCCCCCTCTTCTTTCTCCTCCTCCTCCTCATCCTCCTCTTCTTTCTCCCCTTCCTCCTCCTCGTCCTCCTCCTCGTCTTTCTCCTCCTCCTCTTCCACCTCCACCTCCTCCTCCTCCTCCTCCTCCTCCTCCTCGTTCCGTAGCCATTTGGTCCAAGTCCGCGGCAGGCAAGGCCCTTTTGCCTGGCATTGCTTTGTCGGCCTCTACTGTGGGAGTCGGGCCCCCGCACATGTCTCTGGAGCCTGGGCGGACGCGTGACGCGCCGCCGTCGTGAGGTCAACACCACGGCATGCCGAAGTCTGGTCCGTACACAGTGTGCGGATCATGCGGAGGTTGGGAACTCCAACGTTCGGGCGGGTGGTGTGACAAGTGTGACGACTACATCTCGGCACTGCAGTGGCAGCCACAAAAGTCCCAAGAGACCCGTGTGGGGAAGCCGCCGTGGGTGTCTTCTCGGCCGCCGACCACGCCCGATCAGGAGTTGGAGGTACTCGTTAGGAAGTTTGAGCCTAAGAAAGGCTGGTTTCAGGTCGACATCGGCCTCCAAACCTTGTGCGGGTTCAAGGATCAGGTGGAGAGTGCGCTCGCCAAGAAGCCGAAAAGAGAGATGCCGCAGTCCTTGGCGCTCCAGGAGGCAGTCAATCGTATGGAGCAGGCGCAGAAGGACCCGGACGTCGCGACGGTTGGCCTTGCGGCGGCGCAAAAGCGGCCGGCTGAGGTTCAGCAGGTCCAGGACGCGGCTGCTCGGCAGATGGAAGAGGCGGAGGCTGCTCACATCAAGGTCCTGGACGAGTGCTATGCCAAGTCCAAGCTCAGCAGGCTGCGCCGCCAGATCAGGCCCGGCAGGCACCTGAGGTGGGCGGGTGAGGCGATGTCCGTGGACATCTAGGATTACCAGCCTGGCGACAGAGAGAAGCTGCCCAAGTTCAAGTCATACATGCATAGCTTGGCGGCCCTGGTCAGCAAGGCGCACGCCCAGCGCAAGAAGTTTGATGAGCTGGCCAAGCAAGCGAAGGAGACGCAGATGGCGCACCTAGAAGCGACGCGCAGGAAGGTCGGCGAAGAGAAGGCGACTGCCGCGGCCGTCCCTGGTTCGCCGACTCCAGGCAACAACGTGGAAGCAGGGCCCACTCACGAAGCAGATCATCCGCAGTCGGTGCCTGGCGACGGCGCGGCATCAGCGCGTCGCAAGGCCGTGACGCTGCGGCACCCGGGAGGAGTCTCGGGCCGGGCCCCAGGCTGACTCCAGGCGCCAGGCTCGCCCCTCACCCGCGTCCTCTACGCCTGAGCCATCCCCACCAGTTACGAAGAAGGGCGCGGAAGCTGACGTGCCCATGGATGTGGAAGTTGCTGAACCTGATTCTCGGATTTGCGCGGTCTTCGCCAGCGTCGCGACACGGGGCCCGTTGGCCCGCAAGTGCCAGCGCCAGTCAGGCAGCATGTTGGACGTCTTTACGATGTGCGAGACGCACGTTTCGGATGCTGAGATCCCGCAGGTTCGGGCCGCCGCGGCGCCAGATGGGCGGGGGCCGTTTGCCGCGCCTGCGGCGCCCGAGAAGAAATCGGAACGCGGCAGCGCAGGAGGCGTGTTCATCGCCGTCAGGTCCCGCGTCGCGGTCGCGGGCTACGATGGGGCCCGCTTGAAGCTAAATCAGGATAGTGCCCGCGACCCGCCCCGCGGCCTCTCGGCGGTCACCCTTCTTTTGCGAGGCGGCAACCTGGCGCGCATGTCAGCCTGCCTGGTCCCCAAGGAGGACTTGACAGGCGCTGGTGTCAATCGGGCCCGCGCCGTGGCGGCTCTCGCGCAGTCGATCGCGGGCTCGCGGGCTATCTCGGCAGACTGGAGCGCCCCGTCCCAGAAGATGCAGGAGTCGAACTTCTTGGAAAGACTGGGGGGGCCCTCCGCCCGTGCGTAGACATCGCCTGCGGCAAGGGGAAGGGCGGCCTCCCGGTCTATGGCACGGCGCAAAGTGACGTTGCACTTCGGCTGCGCGTGGGCGCAGTCCGTCGAGTACCTTGGAAGGCCCATTGCGGTCTGCGGCCCGACCTGGATTGGGCGGCGCGGCCGCGGCGTCATCGCGCGGTCGCCGCGCCGAGGCCGCCCCCACCCCAAGTCCGCCCCGAGATGCGGGCCGACCCGCTGAGCAGGCGCAGTTTAAAGAAGGAGGCCGAGCGCGAGAGGAGGATGGAGAAGCTGGATGGAGTCGCGCCCGAGGGGGGCGCACGAGCACATGTTCACGCAGAATGATGTGGGCGAGAAGGGCGGCCAGCGCGTGATCCCGCTGGACCTATGGCAGAGCGCAGAGGCTACAGCGCAGCTCCCCACCTCGCACCTCCCCGAGGAGATGAGGCCCACTGGCGCGCATCTGTACTTCGCCATGCAGGACCAGTGAGGGGCGGGGGGCGCCATGGCGGACGCGCGCGCGGACTGGGCCAGCAGGGCGGAGAAGGCCACCCCCCCTGCCGGCAACGTCGAGGTGGAGCAGCGCCGCCCCGGCGCGGGTAGAGCGCGGGCGCCCGCGCGGCCGGGGCGCGAGCAACCCCGGGATTGGAAACGCATGGGGCATGCGGCGGCTGAACGCGGGGGCATATGCGCGACCTGGGCGGCGAGGCACCGCGCGACGAAGGTCAGTTGCTCGGGCCCCGGGCATCGTCGGCGCCGGCGCTCGGCAGAGCGGCAGAACGAGATGAAGAACGTGGAAGGCCTCAACCAGGATGAGGTCTTCGGTAAGAGCGTGACCTAGCAGGAGAGGACGCGGGCGCACGATGAGGCCTTGAACCCGAAGAACAGGAGCCCAGGGGAGCTGCAGCAACATTTGGAAGCTATTGGGGGGCGCCAGGCAGCGGCCCGCGCGGGGGGCATCGCCGCCCAGCGCCAGAATTTCATGAAGTGGGCGAAGCAGACGTGGACAGTGAAACGAGGGGCCCTCCACAGGCACGTCAAAGAGAAGTTCGCGCCGACCTTCGAGCTGGCCGCGCCCGGTGAGCAGCAGCATGCGGACCGCGGGCCCCGGCGCGGTCATGGGGCACAAGGCGGCCTTGTGGCCTTGGGGGGGGGGGGGGGGGTGCGCTCCCGGGCGATGGAGGCCGAGCAGCAGGGGCTTCCAGAGTCTGCGCTGGGCGAGCTGGATATGGCCATCAGCAAGTCGAGCGACGCGAATGCGACGGGTTTGACGCGCTGGGGTGCCTGGGTCGACATGCAGGCTGTCAACCGCTGCTCGACGGCAACTTTGCCAGCTCATTCAGAACTGCGAGCTGCGCTGCACTGGGTCACGACAGCGCGCAGTTAACAAGTGCGCGCTTGCAGCCGAACCCAGGGGCGGTGACCGCGCGATGGGCATGATTGCGTTGATGCCTAAGATGTGGAGCAAGGCTCGAGCTACTCCGCGCGAAGCTTGTGCGGAGGGCCTGTTTGGTCATTGGCACTGCGATCAGAGGTTCGTCAGAGTTGCGAGCTGGGTTGTTACGTGCTTGATTGGTTGAGTCGGGGATGGAGTTGGGAGTTGCGTCTCTGACCCTGTCGCTGGACATTGAACAATGTGCGATTCTGCGTCCTTGGTCATGCTCATCCGCATTGCAAGGAGGTTCGGTTTCCCGCGGCGCTGATGTCTTCGGAGCGTCAGCTATTCCGGGCACCAGGATATCGCCGGAGAAATCGATTCTTAGCAGGCCCATCTGTCCTACTCGATCTTTGGTTGCTGGACTGCCGCGAGGCGTTGGACTCGCGAAGCTGTTTCTCCATCCGGTTCTGGAGTTCGTTCATCGCAGGTCGCTCGCGTCGGGTCTTTGGACGTTCGCGGATGATACTGCGGCGCGGTGCGACTATAACCGCGCGCCAGTTGGGGCATGCGATGTGAGCTGTCGCTAAGGATTGCAAAGCGAGTTTTGAGGAGAAGCGCATGGTCGCGTCGTCTAACGCGGTCTTCATTGACTCAGACCCAGCAGTTGCCGCGCGCACTGCGAGACGTGTCCGAGCATGTGGGCTGCCAGTGTCTGCGTCGCTGTCGGCAGTGGATATGGGATCGAACGCGTCGGCAGGACGCAGGCGCACCGCGGCGAGAGCGACCGTGAAACTGGGGAGTGCGATGAGACGAGCTGGAAGGATGCGGCGACTTCAATGAGCGGGCGCCCCGGCAAAGATTCCTCGTGGCCTTGGGAAACTGGGGCTGTCCCACAGGCGCCATGCGGTCATCGGACCTCTGGCGAGTGCGAACTTTTTGTTTTCGTCGAGACGTCGGGCTGGCCACGCGGTGGGCGGCAAGTCCAAAGGGCGCTGCCTGACGACAACGTTGGGGCGCGATCCGGCGATGCCAGGTCCCGCCGCGGTGGCGCCCATCCAGGTGCCCGGGGGGCGGATTGCCCTGTGCCAGCGTAACCCCGGCGCGCTTGATGTGGCCATGCGTTTTTGGGCCTCGATGCGCAGTCGGTTGAGGGAGGCAGCTGCCAGGAGATGGTCAGCAATTCGGGGCCTCGCTGCTGCGTTGCAGGCTGCGCTGATGGGCGCGGGGCGGGGCGCAATTACTGCTGCGACCCGGTTGCGGCCTGCGGTGTGCGATGCCGACCCAGTGGGCCAGAGGGGCGCCCCGTCTTTGCATGACGAAGGTTTCACTGGCAATGGTTCGTTCCAGGCCTTGTTCGACGGCGCCGAAGCGGACGCGCGCGGCTTTCCGTGGACAGCGGCCGCCGAGCGCGCGGCTGGGCAGGACCTCGCAGGAGGCGCGGGCATGCGCCAAGTCGTCCGTGGGCAGCGGCGTCTGGAAAGGCTGGACATAATTAATTGGCCTCCACGAGTATCACAGTGGTCAGTCGAGGCCAGTGGACGAAGCAGAGAGTTGTTGATAAGGGTTCTGCTTGAGCCGACATGTGCGAGCTGCGGAAAAGAGCCTGAGAGTTTGCTCCATCGCATTTGGACCTGCGAGCGCACCTGCGAGCATGATGATTATAAGTTTGCGCCATGGC